TGATAAAGTGTAAGCATCCCCATGCTTTCGCCTCAAATGGCGACGCTCTTTTCCAGCGGCAGACACACAGATTTGACAATCACGTCTGAAAGGAATATGCCCCCTTAGGCAATGGTCACGGAAAGCTCGCTCCTCAGTCGTCAACCTCCGTAACGTCCCTTCTCGTTCTTCTTTTTTTAACACCATAGCTTCCCGTTCAGCATCGCTCTCATGCAACCATTGTGCCAACCTGTGACGTATTCTTTTAACCAATCCAAACGCCCATCGCGCCCATATAGAGGATTGTCCAATACGCTCTTCCAGGGTAGAAGCGAATGTTGCCGACCACGGAACAACCACGCGAACCTGTTCCAACGATTCCCATAGTTCCATATCAGACACCAGGAAAGTCGTAGGTTTCACCAGAGCATGTCCCAATGCTCCTTGATCAAAGTGTGCAGCGTACATTCCATAACGCTCACAAAAGCTTTTCACCTCTGGCCAACTCCAGAAGGTAGGACTTGAGAGCCCTTCCTGAGAACCATCCACCAGATCCTCAGCACTCAAGACCGTTTTGCCATTCTGAGAGAAATCCTTCCCTATGAGTTCAGGGTCCCCAGGGCTTTCCATGCCAAAGAAGACAGAACTTCCATTGATGACTTCAGCAGTTCCACACCTTGAATGCACCGCCACGTCATATAGGAAAAGCATCTTCAGAAGTAAAACACCATCCTTTTGAGCTAATTCTTGATGTGGCCAAGGAAGACTCTTTAATCCCAACCGTTCAGGCCCACAGCGCCGGCGTAATACAGGTGGACCACCGTCTTCACCTCAACCTTGACACTGTCCTGCATGGAGGTCCTCCAACCACAGCAACCACCTTTCCTTCAGCCGCCAGATGCAGAAGATACTTCCAGACGCTCGAATTATGTAGGTCACCGCCTTCTGTCAAATCCAGCTCCAGTACCTCCACATCCCGACTGGGAAAATGCCATTTTTGTTTCCCCGAAAATAGGTGTACCACCACCCTTTTTGCTCGTGCCAGCCGTCTCCTTTTATGACGGTTGAAAGGCAACGCCGCAATATCTCCACGTGGCAACAGCTCCATCAGCATATTTTCTGGTATATCCCCATAATACCACCGAAGAAATCGCCAGCATGCCTGGACGAACTCCTCCTCATTCGCTGACGCTGTCCGCGCTGCGCTTTGCAACGACGTTTTTACAGCCACCTCGTTGTCCGTATTCGGACACCCTTGAACCATACGTGCCACCTTCAAAGCTTGCTTTGGGGAGCACCAATCCATTTCATCAATGATCTGAAGCGCCACCTCCTTTTCTAAACAAGGGCACCCATTCAGATCACGAACGCGAAGTTCCCCCAGAACAGGATGTGAGGCTGTGCACTTGCCACCACGCCACTGAACTCTGAGACCAACCAAGGCGCTCGCTTTGCCAATTGGCACTAGTGGATCTACCATTTCAGGAGTTACCAGGGTCCCACCTGGGGTAATACACATCTCCCGAGATCCAACAGCTAAAGACACCAACACCTTTTGCTGCGGAAGCTGTTCTCCAGGACGAAGTGATCTGAGAGGATGTGATGCTCCCGAGTCCAACATGCCCATTCCCGAACACTCATTGGTGTCAGAAACCCTGGCCACATGTAGAACGCATACTCCTCGGCCTTCTCCCTGCTTCGGCAACAACGTGGCATCCGACGAACCGACTCCACAGTCCGCCCTTCCATTCCTCCATTGAGAATGGGACCAAGATACACGCTGCCCTTCAGCATGCAAAACCATTTTTTCAGCTGTTCTGTAATCCATAACCAAACAGCCATGTTCAAACCACAAGAGCTGGTCCAGCGAAGATTTTGCCCCCACGTGACACATCCCATTGATCACAGTGAGGTTCGCCCCAAACTCCAAAATCAACCAGAGAGGGATAATCAGGGGCCCACTGTCTTCCCTAATCAACGTCCCTTTCTCTGTAATCCTCATTGTCACACCACCAAGCGCGCTTTGCACCATAACAGTAGTGTCTGGTAAACATTCCCATGGAAAAAGCGTCCGCACAAGATGCGTAGCAGCTGTATCCACCAACGCCACTCTCCCTTCCTGCTGAAGCAGCCCAGAGCCACATAACATTCGAATACTGGGATCCCCGTTTGATGCCGACTGTTCTGATGACAGCTTCATAGATTTCAGCACTTCTAACGCTTCAACAAGGACCTGATTGGCCGTTGATGGCGATGAGGGACTTGCAGAACCTTTATCCAATCCCGCATTAGCCGTCTCATCTCCCCCTTCAGCTACCTCTGCCTTTTTGGCATTTCCCCATTTCGCACCTTTGCCGCCCTTTCCCCCTTTGGGAGAATTCCCTTTAGATCTACTCCTCTCAGGATTTGAGTCCACATTGGAACTTGCACCATCCTTATATGGACATTGCGGCTGCAGATGGCCAACGGCCCCACACTCAAAACATCTTCCTCGTTCAAGGGAGTCTTTGTCATGGCGAAATTTGCAGCGGGATCCGAACTTGCACCCCGCATCGGTCTTCCCATATATCCAACAGAAAGGACGTTCACCATCTCCGCTGTACCTTTTTCCTTTCCCTTTGCCTTTGTCACCCTCCTCTGTCTCGTCACCAGTTCCCTTTTGGGCCTTGTTTAACCTGGCCCTTTTCTTGGCGTCCGAGTCCTGCTTCACCTCTTGTTCACCAGCACTATGCAATAGCAGTTCAAACTCTGCCTGTAACATTTCAGCTAGTTTTGTCGCAGTTTCAGAGGTCGGCGAGTAGTCCACCCCCAATTTCTCCCGAAAGGATGCCACTCTGAAATGAACCGTAGGGTGTTTCGCCAGCAACGCGGATGACAAACCATCCAATCCCTTGATAAGCAAGGTAGCGTCCGGCTCAGCCGCTCTCAACTCCCTCAATCGGAAACGCCATTGCGCCCATTGACGCACTCCCTTTATGGCCTCTGAGATCG